CAACTCCCAGAATTCCCCCACCAGCCCCAGCCGGCTGGGGAATTCTGGGAGTTGAAGTCCACACCTCTTAAAGTCGCCAAGGTTGAGAAACACTGATATAAACAGTATATATTATGCTGAGGCCCACAAAATACAGCATATTGCATTCAACCACACGTTGGGCTCACGTAACATCTCATCCCCAGTGCCTGGGGGAAGAGCCAGGTTTTTAAGGCAATCCTAAAGGCTAACAAGATCAGGGCCATCCATATTCTGGGGATATGTTGCTCCGCAGGGCAGGTGCCCTGACTGAGAAGGCACATCACCTGGGCCCCATTAGATGACACAGCTTTACAGAAGGGAACTGGAGCATTCCACTCTGCTGGATCTGGTGGGACAAGCAGAAACAATTGAGAGAGGCAAACCTGCAAATAACTTGTGCCTTGCAAGGTTTCAAAGGTGACAACCAGCACCTTGAATTGTACCCAGAAACCTACTGAGAAACATCATGGAGCAGTGGTGTTACATGAGCATACTGCAATGCCCCCCAAACTGCCCGTGCCATTCTACTGTTGCTGATGATTCCAAATAAATGCATGTGATAGTTAAATAATTGGCACTATGCCTAGCTTAGTCATAGTTGTAACATTTATAGCTCTGTTATTAAAAATGTGTTGGACCCAGGCTTAGTTATGCTTAGAGTCAATCTGCTGAAGTCCATGATACTTTGGCTAATCTTAAATCACTTAAATCCCATTAATTTCAGTCTGTTTGAAACAAAACTAAGTGTCCACCCAGCCCAGTGTGTGTTGGTTTTGCTGTTCTATAATTCCTTCATTGGTCTGGGCACAAGACTTGTTTCCAGCCTAAACTAGAGATGTTTATGGGAATGATGATTCTGGAGTACATGAAGTAGAAATGCTAATTGTCTTTTTTGCCTTTTTGTAAAATCTCATGTTCTTGCATATTATTTCAGAATTTAAAAGAAAGAAGTCCATTGGAAGTTTATGCTCTAACCCTGGTTAGGTCAAAGGTTAGGTAAAGGTTAAATTATTGTATAGTAATTCATTTTTTTGAGATGAAATTTTAAAATAAATAAAACCCACCCTATAAAATATTTAAGAATGCTTCGTTCGGTTTCAGCCCAACTTTTGATTCCATCTTCCACATGAGGGCGGTTGGTCGGTCTGTCTGTCTATATATGGATATGTAACTTAGGTCTGTTTTTCTTTTTAATAACCTCTTTCTCTTGGCGCTCCATCTTTTTAGTTTACTTCCCCTTAAAAAGAACCAAAAGAAAATATGCTTTAATTCTTAGGCTCGCTTTGTTTCACTTATATTTGAGATTTGTATCCCAGTCTGCACAGTGAAGCTAACAAGTTGGATGACCTTAGTTCAGATTTATTTATTTTTTAATCATGAAAATATGGGTGAGAAACCAGGATTATGTAGAGAAGGTAGATAAGCCTTCTGCTCTAATTCCTTGAAATTCTGGGAGCTGCCCGCCAAAACATTTGGAAAGACCTGGGTTGGAGAACATAGAAGGATATATATTGTACAAATTGGGAATAAAATGCTTTCTTAAGACAATTGCACAGCAACTCTGAAGGCTCTTTAGCCACTGAAGCATGTATTCCTGCGTGTCCCCAAGTTCACAGTATGTAGTAAGCAAATAGTAGACAGACAACCATGTGGCTGATAGACTTGCCTGGCTTGATAAATACAGGATGCATCTGTTGTAATGAACGTTCACAACACTTTCCTTGGACCTTTGCGTGTGTTTATTGAACGGAAGGGCTAGGTCAGTGTAGGTTCCCCCCAAGTGAATGCCTAAATTCATCCAAATACTTTTCATTCAGAGCCCTCTTGAGTCAAATCACTGGGTGTGCTTTGCAGAGTTGTCTGTAATTAAGATAAAATCTTTTGGATGGTAAGGTTTGTAAATTATGAAACTTGTGGCATAATGCTTTTGGAACCGATTTGGGGAGACTGACATGAAAGCTGCAGCTGGGTGGTTTGTTTTTTTAAGAAATCTCAGAAATGCAATCCCTTTCCTTGATCCTTAGTCACTTTTTAATTACTCTCACAGGGCCCCTGCTAACCACCGTGTTAAAAAAATAATAATCTTTAATGCCCTTGAATTCCAGAGCCATGCCTCACATTTCTTCCCCCTTATTACGACCACCTGGAATTCAAAATGCACTCCGTTGGGATTGAAATGCAGGACAGCGACCAGAGCAATATAATATTATGCTTCACGCCACTGCTTGAGGAGGAGGACAAGGGCCAGATTCTGGGTGTAAATGTGTATCAGTTTATGTGAAGGTTGTTTGAAAGTTTAAGGTTGGTAACTCAGGCATTCTACTGCGGGGTCGAAATTACTGATTGTCCTTTTGCTTTTCTCCTCCTTCAATCAGAAACACTGGAAGAACTTCCCGAAAGAAGTGGGAAGACATCTCGGCGTTTCTTCTTTAACTTAACATCTATCCCTTATGGGGAGATTATCACTTCAGCTGAGCTCCAGGTTTTTCGGGAGCACATCCAAGATGCCGCTGAACACAATGGCAGCTCTCATCACCGTATTAATATTTATGAAATTCTCAAATCAGAACGAGAGGCCGCCCAGGACCCTGTCACAAGCCTCCTGGACACCCGCTTGGTGCATCACAATGCCAGCAAATGGGAACGGTTTGATGTCACACCAGCTATCATGAGGTGGATTGTGCAAGGACAACCTAATCTTGGTTTTGTGGTAGAAGTGGTACATTTGAACAATGCCAGCAATGTCTCCAAGAGACACGTCAGGATCAGCAGGTCATTGCATCAAGATGATGCTAGCTGGTCTCGGATTAGACCCTTACTGGTCACCTTTGGGCATGATGGCGTGGGCCACCCACTCCATAAGAGAGAGAAACGTCAGGCCAAACCTAAGCCACGCAAGCGCCATAAATCCAATTGTAAAAGGCATCCTTTATATGTGGATTTCAATGATGTGGGGTGGAATGACTGGATTGTGGCCCCCCCAGGTTACGGTGCCTTCTATTGCCATGGAGACTGCCCCTTCCCATTGGCAGATCATATGAACTCCACCAACCATGCCATTGTTCAGACGCTGGTCAATTCTGTGAACTCCAAAATTCCCAAAGCTTGCTGTGTGCCGACAGAACTGAGTCCCATCTCAATGCTCTACCTTGATGAGAATGAAAAGGTGGTACTAAAGAACTATCAGGACATGGTTGTGGAAGGTTGTGGGTGCCGCTGATGCAGCAGCAAAATTAAAGGGACAAATGGAACAGAAAAAGACACACACACACACACACACACAACTTGACACTTTAATATTTCCCAATGAAGACCTTATTTATGTTATGATATGGAGAATTAAACACATCTATTTTGAAAATCTATTTATGTCTACAGAAAAAAGTGAGGAAAGATATTTTAATCAGAGAATTATTCCTTTTAAAGATTTTTAAACATATTTTAGTTGTACATTTTATATGGGTTTAACCCTCCCCCTTTCCCACAGCACATGAAGTATAAAGGTCAGATTCTTATATTGTATTTATTTACTATTATAACCACTTTTTAGAAGAATAGCTCATTTGTATTTATATGTGTAATCCAAAACCAGCAGCAGAAGAAAAAATATATAGGGTTTGTACATAATTTAAAATGAATGGTAGCTGTTTTCAGTTGTGTGTATTTAAGTTGAAACGCAGAAGGGCTGTTATGGCAAAGATGCATATATCCCATTTTGCTTTTTGCAGTTCTACTGTTAAGGTCACAAGTGTAAACCCAATGAAAAGGGGCTAACCCACCCTGCTGACTCAAGATTATATTGTACAAGTCTCAGGAATGCTGCAAGGTGGGCTGTCCAGGCTGTGAGAAACGACCACGCGCTCGACAGAACCAGGCTTTGCCCAGCAAATGGAGGGAGGCCCGTTCCTGCCTTAGGCCCCAACTGGGCCGCCAGGAAACGTCTCTCTCCCTTCGCTTCTTCCCAGCACCTACCGAAAAGCAAGCTGTTGATGCTGTTCCTCCCCTTTGAAGGCGTCTGTCCATTGGAATCCATTGTCCTGGCCAAATAATAAAAGACCAGATTTCCTCCGTTTTCCAAAGCTTCTTCCTATTCACCTTTCCTAACAGTTGCGAAGAGGGGGCGCGTTCTGTTACTGAGGCAGAGCGTCCTGAGGGGGAAACCAGGCACGCCGTTCCCACCTTGGGAGGCAAAATATGTGCAATGCAGCATCTACGGGGGGCGGGGGGGGGGGGGGGGGGGGGGG